TAAAATAAAATACCCATTCCAAATTGAAGATTAGGTGTGGTTGCTTTGGCAGCTGCCTGACCAGCATCCAAGCCGATGATGCTGGCGTATTTGAGTTTGTAGTTTGAAAATTTTGCATTTTCCGAAGAGCCTGCCGCATGTGTCGCCCTCTTTGTTTTGTCGCTGCTGGCTTTTTCCATCTAATCACATCAAATCGAAAAATCAGACGAACTTTTTGAACCAGAGTGAGCCCCGCTTACCATTTGCTCTCGAAGTTCTTGCAACTTTCGGTCATATGAATCCCCCTTTTGCAAGCTTTCCAGTTCCTCCTCTGTGGGTCTAAACTCCTTCTTGTAGACAACACTGTGGCGATCAATTCCTTCAATGCCGAATGAAAAGATCACCAGATCATGGCGATCAGCGATATCGTGGCTATAAATAGGAAAAATCAGTTGCACAATCCAAAGAGCAAAGTTGACAAATTGGCTTGCTTATCAAACCCGGTAATTACATCACAGTACGATGTATCTTTTCCATCGGCTCAAACTCTATCTTCTGCGCTTCATTGTCGTTAATAAAGGTCATTAGCTTGTGCTCAATCTAAGTGAAAGAAAAGTGAACTTTATATTAATGGAAATATCCCCAGCAAGTACAAGACAGCCTACCCCAAGACGGAACTTCTTCAATCTGTCCTTCTCCTGCTCGTGTAGCTTCTTAAGCGCCTCCTTTTGCTCTAGATCAGATAAACATACAAGGTAATGATCATCAAAACATACAGGTAAAAAAGTTGTTTCCTACTTTTCATCAACGCTTCTTGTTTACTCGTCGTCTGCGGCGGCTTCTCCATCGTGTCCAAAATTGAGCCCAAAAGATCCATTTTGACAGTTCTTCTCAATTAAAATTAAAAGGTGTTTAAAACTGAAGCAGTTGAAAACAAGCGGCTTGTTTTTACTTTTTTCAAGTTTGAAGCGTCTCACAAAGTAGCCAGACAAGTGTCCGAACGGACATCTGCTCGTAAGGTAAAACTCAGTGCTTTGTTTTGCTTCACATGTTTACTTTGTTGCCTGCTGACTGCAGCAAAACGCAAAAAACCTTTTTTGTGAGTTTTATTGCGTCATACAGCGAGGCAACACAGGTGACGACGGTGATTGGACTTCCAGTGGTGGTATTATGCAAAATACATCGACTGCCTTCATCAGCGAGCCTAATTACCCAAGTAATCGACTCCTTTTTGTGATCGTCACGCGGCTGTGATTGAGGCCACAATGCTGCGTTGGAGGGCTGAAAGTAGATACCACTACTTCTGCTGAAAAAGATGATGATGATGATG